ACATCCAACTGATGCACGGCATCAAGGACCCTGACCTGAAGGAAATGACAGACGCCACCAATGAGGAGGAGACAGAAATAAAAGATACCAAGGTGGAATGCTGCAGATGCTCACAGTGGAACTGTTGGCTTGCTTATCCCATTCATTCTGTTCACCTAAATTTTGTAGTTACACAATTTAAGAAATTCAGATTAGGCATAAAGGTATAAAGTAGTGGATAATCTCCCTCTACACGCTTTCTGACCTCTCATTTTGCTGCTGGAAGGTAATCTTTAGTTTCTTCTGTGTCCTTCCAGACGCAGCGTTAGGGATCTACTTGCATATTTAAATTTTAAATTGACAAAGTGTCTTATTAGCCAGAAGTAATACATTAAAGCTAGTTTGTTTCATTGGCAATGTAGTGGTTGTGATAGTACTTAATAAAAATTGACCTAATTCTTTTTGTAATAAAAATAAAGCAAATTTGTGCTTTATTTTTATCTCAATGGATAGTNTAATTCTTTTTGTAATAAAAATAAAGCAAATTTGTGCTTTATTTTTATCTCAATGGATAGTAAACTTCAATCAGGCAATAACACGTACACATATGTGAGCCCACGTACGAGGCAGTGTGTAGCCAAGTGCTGTTTGAGTTAAAGCCACAGTTCAGCAGAGACTGACGCTCCTGCTGTCTTTGGTTCTAGGCTAAGTCTGCAATGTACCTGGGTAAAGTGTAGGTATGTGTGCTTTCAAGGGGTTAATCATTGAGTAAAATCTCATCAGAAGACAAGTCAGACCAGTGTGACATCAAAATGCAGTCCTCCCTTGCAGTGTTCGCAGGGAGCAGCTAAAGTGTGGGAAGGTGCCAGGTGAACAGGATGGTCCTCAGACTACAGAGAAGTGTCACTTGGGCTTGGATTTTTTGGGAACAAGAAGTGAGAGGATCTGATGTGGGTAGGCATTTACAAAGTGGAGAAGGGAGGTGTGTCAGTCGGGGAAACAGCCTGAAGGTGAGGTGGCAGGAAAGGGCTCACTCTTAGGAAAAGCTTAGGTCCTGACAGTGTCTCCCCCACAGGGTGCTTCACAGTCCTCCCGCACCACCCCCTACCCCAGCCCCTCTAGCCACCCTCCTGTTCCCAAGCTCAGTGGCATAGGAACTCAGCTCCTGCTATGGAGAAAAGTGTGGCCCCCAGTGAGTGGCACGCAAATGGCTTTAAAGCCCCCAAATCCCAACACGCACAGTGTGTGTTTTTCTAATGGCTCTAAAGTCAGAGTGATCATTTGTCAACTATAGAGCAGGATGGTTTTCAATTGTGTTGGTTTT